GAATGGCCGACAATTGCGACCAACTATTGACCGGTTTGGGCCGACTCTACACACAGGGCTTTAATGTCAGTGTAGAGAAACTGTACCCGAAGGTCAGCGGCCCGGTGTCGACGGGCACACGAATACTGTCGCCATTCATCCAATGGGATCACTCAAAGTCCTATCGGTTGACCAAATTTCCCGATTATTTCAATTTTCTCAACAGTCGCGAAGACGAGTCCTATACCATTGACTTTATGGTAAGTTTTTGCACATAAAATATGTGCAAAAAACAAATTAAAAACATTTAACAATTTTACTCTTAAAACTCACCACCAATTGATCCGCAGGACAACAACGACCAGTACGTACGCGACCACTGTATCGATGGTAGAGTCTTAGTGCCGGCCACCGGGTATCTACTGTTCGCGTGGCGATCGTTGGCCTTTCACATGAAGATCGGATACCAGGAGTTCCCCGTAGAGTTCCGGGACGTGCAGATACTGCGGGCCACACCCGTGCCGGCCAATGGCAAAGTCAAACTCTACGTCAATCTGGACCCACACACCGGCCGTTTCCACATTGTCGACAGCGGCACTATTGTGGTCAGCGGTACCGTACGGGCCATCACTGATGGTCAACCGCTGCGATACGAGTCGGTATTCAATGAGATCCAATCCATGGCCGACGAAACGGGCGCTAATTCTCCAATTCGTATGCAAACCAAAGACGTGTACAAAGTATTGAGAACCCGGGGCTATAACTACGGCCCGGAGTTTCGGTGCATTACCGGCGCTCACGAGTGTCGGGACACGTATGTCGTGGCGGGGATCGAGTGGCGCCAGAATTGGGTCACGTTTTCCGACTGTTTGCTCCAGACGTACATTCTTGGGATCGCTAGCTTCGTTGACAACCAAGGCCACCGGTAGCTTCTCGAGGCCACGCTGGGCTCCGCCGACAAGCCGCTTGGGCCGCGGCTGGCTGCCCGGCATAAACTAGGCGTGGAGTTGTAGCGACACTGCGCCGGTTTGGAGATACGTGGAGTGCGGGCCAGTCCTCTACAGAGGAATGTCAAGTCCCAGAAGCCGGCGCTCAGGAGCTACGGATTCGTGGCGTTTGACGAGTACTTCACGCACGAGCGTCAGAAGGCATTCCTCGAGTATCAGCGCCGGTGCGACGAATTGGCGCTAAACGCGGCCAATGGCCGCACAATTAGCGGACAACAGTCGGATCAGTCGTGTGACACAACAGTCGCACAACTCATGAGTGAAATAACTGAAGAATCCCAGACATTTTGCAAAATACTGACCGCTTTAAGCGATGGCAAAAGTGGCGCAAATTTGGCTCAAGAGTTGGATCAAGACATCCAGTGCTCGTCGTATGGCGAACGCAATTATCTTCGCTCTCAACTGACAATCGTTACCGAAAATCGCAACGAATTGAGTGGTAATCGCGTGGATGTGTTGGAAGTGAATGAGAGCTCAGTGCCAATGTATGGCACAGTTATGTCGGCTATGGATATATTGCAGTACAGTCTCGACATTCACTATGTTTTGATGCAATCAAAGCGTAAGACTAATTACCAAGAGGTGGACACAAAGGCGTATTCAAACACTTACACTCTTAACGATTCCTGTGTTGGACCCGATGTGAGCGATAACGCCGTCGATCTGATTGTCTATAAGGATCAAAGTCTGTGCCATTTGGCCGCCGAAGACACTGTTAATGAAGATATCGATACACTGTTTGCGAGTTTTTGGCAAAAACTGGCCGAAAATGGCTTCTTATTGATTGTGTTGAAGAATAAGTGGAGTTTTGCCGAGAAATACATACGGAATGAGTTGGCGCTCAAACGGTACGACCAGATGGCCATCAGTCGGGACGCGACGGTCACGAGTGCTGTCCAACGAATCGGCTTTCGTCTGGTCTCCCATAAGAGCGACTGTTTCTCCGTTCACTCCCTATTGTATCGCAAGATAATCAGCGAACCATCGATTGGGAAACAGATATTCATCGACTTTACCAACAATTACCGGACTTGGTTGCAGAGTTTTCAGCGAGAGTTGAGTGGCATCGGCGACAAACCCGTGGACCAGAATATATGGTTAGTGGCCAACGGGTCGGCTGAGGGTCTGTTGGGTTTCGTGAAATGCATACGAAAGGAGCCGAACGGACATCGGGTCCGAGCGCTGCAGATAATGGACACGAGTGGTGGCGACGAGCGCCAGAAGCCGAGGGCCGCCCTATTGGACAAAACAAACGCCGTGTTTAACGATATCATCAAAAATGATTTGGCCATTAATGTGGTCAGCGGTGGCCAAACGGGTCATTACGTGCTCAATGAGCTGCCGGCGCGGCGCCAGACNTCTCTCTCTCTCTCTCTCTCTCTCTCTCTCTCTCTCTCTCTCTCTCTCTCTCTCTCTCTCTCTCTCCAGACGCGACGGATCTGTTGCGGAACAAGACCTTCGACGGCATACAAGTGGACACACTGTTCGCCGTGAATGACAAGACATCGCCGAAAATGTTGAGAGACAGGGAGAAGATATGGGATCTGATTCGCGACGGTATCGGCGCCGGTGTTGTGCAGCCCCTGAACCGCACGGTTTACGGCCACCACCGGTGCGAAGAGGCCTTTCGTTTTATGGCCAGCGGTCGACACGTCGGCAAAGTTGTGGTCCGCATCAGAGATGAAGAGCCCTCTCATCACACCTTCGAGTTTACGCCCATTAAAATGGCGGCCATTCCTCGCACTGTATTCTTCGCCCACAAGACGTATGTAATGACTGGCGGTTTGGGAGGAATGGGTTTAGAGATCATCGATTGGATGGTCGAGAGGGGGGCGCAGAGGTTTGTGGTCACCTCGAGATCGGGTCCCAAACAGCCGTATCAGTACTCGCGGCTCAAACACTTCGAAGACAGTGGCGTTCAGATCGTTGTGTGGACACAAGCGATCGACTCGGAGAGCGGCGCCCGGGAACTGATCGCTGAGGCCATGACATTGGGTCCAATCGGCGGTATATTTCACTTATCGCTTGTCTTAAGCGACGGTATTGTCGAGAATCAGACCATCGAGTCGTTCGACAAAGTGTTTGAGCCGAAGTCGAAACCACTCGTCCATTTGGATGAGTTGTCGCGTCACTCGTGTCCCCAATTGGATCACTTCGTGGTGTTCTCGTCGGCGGTCACGAGTCTGGGAAACGGCGGCCAAAGTAACTACGGCTTCACGAACTCAGCGATGGAGCGGCTGTGCGAACGCCGGCGACGCGACGGCTGCCCAGCGCTGGCCGTCCAGTGGGGTCTCGTCGGTGATGTCGGTTACGTCGCCGACAACATCACCGCCGATGACTACGTGTTGGGCGCCACGCGTTCCCAACGCATGTACTCATGCCTACAGACGTTGGATCAGTTGCTTCAGTCCGATGTGACCATCGCGTCGAGCGTTGTGTTCAACGATGAGAGCCGTCGCGCGGTCACAGTTGGCGACCGAAAGGATCTGTTGACAACTGTGTGCCACATATTGGGTCACAAAGACTTTCAGAAGTTTGAGCCGAAGACACGACTGTCCGAACTGGGAATGGATTCGCTGATGAGTGTGGAGATCAAGCAGACCATCGAAAGGGACTTCGAGTTGGTTTTGTCCACTCAGGAGATCCAGAACTTGACGATTGAACGCATTCGACAGATGGACACAACGCCGGCCAATGGGGTCGGAGGCAAGACATCGGCTGTACCGGCGGTCACTCGTGAGGCGGCCACCGATGACAACAACAACGCCGACCCGACTGTTGTCCTGTCGGCCAACGAAAGTGTCTTCAAAATACCGAAAGAGAGTGTCGTTTATCTGAATGGCGTAAAAGAGGGCCGAAAAGTGTTTTACTTACCGCCGACTGACGGCACGTACCATCTGTTCGCTCCGGTGGCCACTCGTCTGTCACGACCCGTGATTGGTCTCAATTGGACGGAAGAGTGTCTTCAGTTGGCGACCATTCGCGAGACGGCCCAACACTTTCTGGACGTAATTCACCGGCAGTTTGGCGACCAATTGGACGCCGGGTTTGATTTGTGCGGCTATTCGTACGGCGTGTTCGTCGCCTACGACATGTGTCTCGCGCTCCAGACGTGTGGCCATCGGCGGCCATATCCGCCACCAAAGCTCATAGCGCTGGACATGTGTCCGATTCAGGCGCGCGACGATATGGCCGTCTCGTTGTCGGCCACGAGACACATATTCAACGGCGACGAAGAGTTGGGTCTAATGTTTATGTTTCTGATGGACAAGATATCGATTCAGTCGCAAGAGTTGATCCAATCGGTGGCCGACGTGGAGGCGAGTGGACGCGCGGAAGCGGTGGCCAAACTGTTCATCGACCGCATCGTCGTCGGTGATCGTCCGCACGGGTTGTCTTCTGTGGCACTAAATGAGGTGATGTTTGCGGTGGAGTCACACGTGCGGAAAGTGCGCCAAACGATGGCCTACGGCGGCGGCGATGGACACCGTTTGGACGCCGATGTGTTGCTGTTGCGCGCGGATCAGCATCTGGTCCGCGGCGATCACACCACACACTTCGTGGCTCACGATTACGGTTTCCAAGAGGTATGTGTCCATTCATTTCGTTGTTTACCGTCTAAGGGGTGGCCATCGCTGGCCGGAAGTGATCGATGGATCCGATGGTCACAGATATACAGCTCTTATGCGGTGATAATTGTCTGCAAAATGTGACACAAACTCAATGAATGTCCAAAACTTTTTAGACATAGATTTACAGCAAAACTGAATGAGAGTTTGCGTTAAACCCCTGTATTTATTGCACTCCTGTTTACGGCTCGTTATTATTGAACAAAAATATTGATTTTTCATTCAGTTTTTCTTATTTATTCAATACATTGTGTGTTTATTGTACAGTATTTTACAGTACAATGTATTAGTTTGTTCATAAATAATGTATCATTAGTAATTGTAGTTTTGTATTTAAATTATTAAATTGTTTTTAAATGTTTTGTATTTTGTGTCTTTAATTAGTTAATTACTGGCAAATGTATTGTTCACAAACTCGATGGCAATCACACAAAATTTTTGGCCAATAACCCGATGGACATCAGCCGATACATACAACTATATCTTCAGTCTAACCACTATTAACTAATAATATGTTTATGTTTAGAAATAAAAAGTTTATTTTGTACTTAAAATTTGTATCTTGATAATTTACATGTTTTATAATAAAAACTTTATATCTCAGTCTATAAAAGTAATTAATTTTGAGAGAGAGAGAGAGAGAGAGAGAGAGAGAGAATGTTAATTACAAGTACAGTATATAAATTACAATTACAAACTAACCATAATATCATAATCAGTATCTGAGAGATTAAAGAAATAGCTGTATCTCTCGCGAACCTGCACTGCATTTTGCGATTGTATGCTTTGCTGTTTAAACTTATCGTTAGTCACATTGTATTTAATAAACGAAAACAAATTGGATGACGATCTAAATATGGTTTCCATTATGTCTTCGGTTTCATTCAATACCATCGACGCCGAGAAGAGTTGGCCGTAAAGATGGGAATCGTATTCAATGTTATTTGGGATTTCCAATGAGCCTAACGACCGGTTGGTGCCGACGGCCGACACAACCCGATTAGTGGTGGTATTGAATCGGACGGGAAATACCCAAATGCGGTCAAATGTGAGCACTGTTTGGTTGCGTAACCCAACTATGGCTTTGGGAATAATGTCTGTCCCCGTTTGCTTGCATTTGCTGTTATGGCAAAATCAATGTTACTTTTACTACTAATTATATTGTAATTAAAAATCATAATCTAATCAATACCTGAGCATAATATCGTCGATATGAGATGTCGGGGCACTTAATGCTAAATGGATGCTCAATACAAGCGGTAGTAATGCACTGAATGTTGCTTTCATTTTGTAGTTTTAAATCAATTAATCGTTAATTATGTGATTTAACACAAAGTGATAAAACTCTAAAAACACTTTTATTTGTTTGTAAAATAAGTGTGAAATTTAAAAACTATTTATAAATTCGTTAACAAATTTAAATAACGCGATCAGAAAATGGTATATTTATTAGCTTATTATTGAATAATAACAATAAAAATAGTTAAAATTAAAGGCATCACTAATTTGTTCAAACATTTAAATAAATTACAAATTTTAAAATATATTGTTTTCATTCATTTATTGTTATAGTCTTGGCATTGAAGTCAAAATTTTTGAGCTAATTTTTAATATTCAAAAATTGCATTAATATTTAATCATAAAATGAAAACAGAATTTGAAAAATAGAAATAAATAACAAACAAAATAATAGAATTATGAAAACATATGAAAACTTAAATATTAAAACAAAAAATGCAAATCATTTTACAATTTCAATGTTTTTGGTGGTGAACTTTGGACATCAATTTTGGCCGACGATTGCCTCTCTTTAATGGCGTCCAGTTTTGACCGAATTCTTTCTTTTCTTAACGCTTTCTCTTCTTCCGGATCTGATGTCAGACAACAACAAAACCAAATGATAAACACGAAGATTACGACAATTAAAATGAAAATAACTAACAATACGATCACAGCTAAGAATTGAATTAATAATGAAATTAATAATTGAAAATTTAATCAATTACTAGTGGTTTACAACCAATTATAATATAATTAGTGTAGATGTCTTTCGTAGGCGAGGGCGAGGTGTGTGAAGGGGATGTGAATTGTGTTGTATCGGGAGATTCAGTGGTCACAGGAGTCGTGGGTATGGGTGTAGTCGGCGCCGGTATAGTAAGCTCTTTGAAATTAATGACATCATATTTTTTGATGTCTTCACTAAACTTTTGTCGCGAATTCAATTCAATAACCGCTAAATTTTTGTAGTAATTTTCGGGGCATTGAATGAAGTGTTGAATTATTTGTTGCCTAAAAATTCCGTATTCTTTCCAAAAGAGATAATTATTTTTGACATAAATCTGATCCCCGTTTTCATCGGTAAAACCCGCGTCCAAATTGTCCGGAAGTCCGACACTATTGAGTAGTGTTTCGTCTTTGAATACAAACTTATTGTTCAAATCCTTTGAATACAATTTCCTTTTATCGCCCTTTAAAACAAATGGCAATTAAATTATGAGTAAAGTAATTTTATAAACTATAAAATATAAAAACACAAACTTTATATAAATAGCATTCACTGTAAGTACGGTCACAATCGATGGCATCCAAAGGGTGTTCACTATTAGGGAAAAGAGTCGAGAGTTGTTTCCATTGTTTCAATTCATTCTTGTTATCCGAAAAAGTGGTGAATTTGTCTCCTTTTACGACAAAAACTTCTGATTTTATTAAATCCACAAAAACTGTGTCAATGTTTCGCAAATCCGGTATTAAATTTTCAATTCTTTGAATTTCTGGATGAGTTTGAGTTGAATCCCATTTCCAATAATAATTGCCACTAAATATATAGTAAATCGTATTGTCTGTTGAAATCATTGCATCAATCGCTGCATTCAAACAGATATCCGACGGACAGCCAAACCAAATACTGTTTGACTAGAAATAAAATTAAAATCATTGCTTATTAGAGAAATGTTGTGTTAAAAACAATTACCCTATAAATTGATAGTCTTTTATAACTTGTAATGCTTTGCTGAATGAATTCCAAATGAAACAATGCAAACATATTTGTGTCAAAACATAGAAATAACTGACAGATAGTTAATCCATGAATTTGGTTATTCGTACAGTATTTGATCAATACTGACGTTACGGTTGCATTCAATTCTGTTTCAGTGACACTCAAAATACGATTTTGTTGTGAGTTATAAATCCTGACAAACGGTTTGTTGTTTTGGGATTTACTGAAGACAAACACACACTGATAGTGAGGGCACTTAAAAAATGCTATTCTCTGTACAAGAGAGAGAGAGAGAGAGAGAGAGAGAGAGAAGTACAGTATA